GTCCTTAAGCAGCACATCCATTTTCGCAATGACATATTCCTCAGCCTTTGTACGCTGCAAAATGAGATAATTTAATGAGTTCGCACTAATTTGTCATTCATTTGTCTACACACTAAATTTGCCCGATGTGTTCGGCTTTTAGATTGTACAGCCAGTGTTCCATAAAGCAAAATAATAATAATCCAGCTCCAGCTCGTTTTAGTTTCACTTGCAGACATTATCCAAGTATACTAAGCACCGTACGCTGAGGAATATTATTATATGAATTTATTTAAGTGCAACTGTGACACTATTTCCCAATCGAACCAGCTGAAGCTAATTTAAATTGAGGAACAAATCAATTTTAGACTCACAAATTGGTTTAGATGAATATGTATAAATATATTTATGTGCACATACTGCTTGTGAAACAATAATAAACAAATAGTAACATTATTGTTAGCTCTCCCGAGGAGGAGACACCCTAAAGTCCGAATGACCTAGGTTTTTAAATAGGCGAATTGAGATGTTCACTAATACGGAAATGAGATTTACAACAATTTAGAGTGTGCAATCAGGCCAGAACCGACTGCCTGATACTCTCTTCCCATAATACTGATCAACCGTTTATAATAAAAGGAATCTGTTAACAGCTGAAAGGGTAAATTTTAATATATATTTGATATATGCTGCTATATGCTGATATATGCCCAATCATTGCGTTATCAGATTGTAATCTTCAGATCATGTCATCAGAATTAGTAATCGTAGTCGTCGTTGTAGGAGTCGTAGTAGGAGTCGCTCTCATCAATATCTACTACATAGGCTGCGCAGGGCTCGCTATTTTCAAGCAAGCTTCTTTCCTTCTGAGCGTTGGTATCTGTCAATGCCGCTTCGATTTTGATTTTCTGATTGTAGTAGAATCTTATGCAATCAGCACTTATTGCAGATGTGTGTATTTCTTTCTCGAGCTCCTTTGCACGGCATTCAATGTTACGCTCTAGCTCCAATCGTCGGTTGTTATATTTTTGAAAATTCTTAAAGAATTTTTCCTTTTGGTCGGCCTTGTCTGCTGGTAAAATCTTAATCAATTCTAATTGCTCGACAAAATCCTCATATTCTTTATTATTTTGGAAGTGGCCGAGTGGATTTTTGATAGCCTGATCAATTTTTGCAATCACTTCTGCGTCATTCTGCAAAAGAGGTCATACTGTGAGTTCCTAGAAATGTCACATAAATTATTTTACAAACTGCTTCCTCTCCGTTCGCATAAGTGTGCATTTCAGCAAATATGCCAATCACTAATACAGTTAAGATCAGCTTCCTGTTCATTTTTAGTATACGTTTAGTCAACAGCTGAGTGAACTAAAGACTGTGTGCAGAGGTATAGGCTTATATATGCTCGAGTTTAGTTATTATTCGATATAATAAGTTAAAACTCATTTCAAAGTTCTAGAAAACAAATTAACAGCTGTCGATCGTGTCTACATGTCTGCTGATATATGTAGTTTGTAAAAGAAGGGATATAGTCACCAATGCCTGACTAAGAGATACCATATAGCTCTCCATAGAAAAATGTTTCCAGGCAACATATTTGCTGCACACTTATTTTCTTGAGATATATCATAATAAATTACTCATTGAATAACTTCGGTTCCAGATCTACATAAAAATGTACAAGGCGTAATTTTGATAGCCCAATGTCTAACATTTAAATAAGTACTTTTCTTTCAGTGTATTCATTACAGAAGCTTTCAGCTTCAATTGAGCAGAGGGACGATCAAGCAAACATGGCTAGATCAATTTTCCTCATCGCCCAAATCGATAATGTATATACATATATACTTTTGCTAGGTACATTTTTATAGGAACAATATATGTTGAATTCGCATTTAAAATGTGTGCAGGGTATTTGAATATTCAATTTATTTTTCCACGAATTCAGTGTCAGGGCTAAAGCGTGCACTGATAATATATGCCAATAGACAAGACAGAAAATATCCAATCGCAATTTGCTTAATAGCTCAACCCTTTGGGCCTGATATTGCAAATGATGCCATCAATTTTTTATCTAAAACTAAAGCACAAAATAGTAAATCAAAATAGAATGAAAAACAAAAACAAAAAAAAACTTTTAACTAGAGCGAAAAGCAACGAACATTTTCTTATGTTTATGTTTGTTTCCGGCGTACAACGAAAGCAAGCCGAAGCACAAGAACAACAAGCCACACTCGGCTGGTTGTTGTTTTCTCTGGGTGTTTGTGTAGGCGCTGAAAATTGAAATACAAACAAGCCCATAACATAACAGACTAAGAGCCGACAGTTTTGGAAACTCTCTGGAAACAAATGGCATCGCAGCACTCGAAATATTAACAACTTAACGTGCAAACCTGTTAAGACAGCGGCGCAGAGCTACGCAAGTTAATTTACACGCAGCTTAAATATTTGTACGCCTCGAAGAGCAGCAGTTGAAAGGAATTACAAAAATATATATATTTATATAATTTACCATTCGCAAGTCGTAGTTGCAATGCACTTCCGGAACCCACAGCAGAACAATTTGTGCCTAGCAAATAAAATTCAATAAAATTATAAAGTAAGAAAGTTTCAGTTTGGTTTCTTTTTTTCCCTTTGGTTGAATTTCTTAACAACTCAGAAGCTTCTGATGGCAAAAACCCCAATTCGGTTGCTTGGAAAATAACTTCCCTCAATTGATATATTTTTCTCTGCAAATATTCTTTTATTTAACTTATTTTAAACATCTATATTTTGCAAATTACCACGCTCTTAAAAGTGAACTATAAACATTATAGTAAAGACCAACACGACTCTACCATGGAGATTCTAGCTTAAAGGTTTAGTTTCCTGAAAAAATTTAGATATAATGATTTAAATTAAATATTCTAAATATATTTCATTTCATTAACATTGAACAACAAATAATTTTAGATCTCAGTTGGTCGGGTTTTAGTCTGGATTTGACCAATAAAGAAAAATAGCTATATCACTGTGAAGTGATCAACAGCAAAGTACTGTATATAGAATTGTAAAAGAAACAGATTTTCGAAGAGTTCGACGACGCTCATATCTGAATATTGAAATACCCGAGGTATAGGAGTATATGGATGGTGCGTGTATATATAAATTCTAGATAAATATATATAGTAATAATTCTATACTATACTATATATATATATATATTCAAACATTTTTTCCCCCAAGTTTTAGCTTGAATATCAGGGGATAATCTACATAAATACAATAAATTTGAAAACACTTTGTTTGCTTAATAGATATTAAAAAAAAAAAAAAACCGTCTAAATAAATAAACTAATAAAAATAGATCAAATATATTAAGATTGGGCTCATCCAATTATATAGGCAGATGCATTTTGTCAGGCTTAGCAAGGAAGTTGATGTACCCGACGTTCGGTTATAAAAATCAATTCCATTGTAACCTGCCTGCCAGCGGCTACGCAACTATTTTGCATGCAAAGTCACGTTTTATTGCAGCTACGCGTAGTTCCTTTTGCTGCTTGTTGTTGTTGCTGGTGCTGCTGCTGGTTAACTTTTGAGCATACCTGAGGCAGTATTGGACGCTTGGGGTCCTGCGCATTGTTGGTTGGGGTTGGGGTTGGGGTTAGGGTTGGGGTCTGGGTCCGGGTTTGGGTTTGTGTTTGGGCAATTGCATGCCAAACTTAAGGGCCATAAAAATTATTACGAGCACATAACATGCGCTCGTTGATAAAAGATGAAGCAAATATCTCGTGTCAAATAGAATTTATGCACGTTTCGGCCGACGCACATTATGGAAATTCAATTGAATGCAAATTTAAATTGCCGGGTACTCCAGAGCTCTCTCACACACACACACACACACACGCAGAGAGAGAGTGTGTGTGAGGGAGAGAGGAAGAGAACGGCGACACAAAGCAAGTGCTATGCATATCAAGTGCAGCCTAAAAATATGCAGCACTTCAATGCATATTGAGCAGAGTTGATTTTATGATTACCTGCAACTGATTAACGTGCTCGGCATGTCCAGAGCATTTGTGACAGTTTGATTTTTGAGCTTGGGCAGCTGGTTAGACTCTCAGCACAAATTACTTAATTAAAGCAACAACAACAGCAGCAACAGAGTTGCCAATTGCCCTGCTGTGCTGTCAAGCGTCGAGTTGGGGACAAACATGAGCACACATTGTAACATATTAAGCGAAAAACATAAGAGACAACAACAACAACAACAGCTATGACTTCAGTTCATGCCAAAACTCAAGTGTGGAACGAAGCTGAGCAAGTCAACAACAAGTTCAATGCGTTGCCCTTCCTGTCCGCTCACCATGGGGCGCCTCCTGTTGCTGTTCCAAGTACTTGACTGGCCTTTGTTATTGTTGCTGCTGCTGTTATTGTTGCTGTTGCTGTTATTGTTGCTGTTGCTGTTATTGTTGCTGTTGCTGTTATTGTTGGTGAACGCATTTTGGACATGTTGCTCTTAGACAGCGGCATATTAGTTGGCTGCAGGTTCACTTCAAGTTTGTTCACACGTTCTGATAAAACCTGATTGCACGTCAGTGCTGACATTTAGTTAATAAAAAAACGTATAGCAATATGTCATCCCAATTTATAGGATATAAGCTTAAACTCGAAATAATATTTAATATTTATTTAATATAATATAAAATATAATAATCTATTAATTCTGTTGTCAAAATTGTATGAATATTTGTATAATATAATCATTTATATATATATATAATGTAAATTATGATATAATGTATATATTTAACATAATATATAATATAATATAAAGAAATGTATTATATTCAAAAATTAATCTACTCTAAAATCTGTAATAGAAATTTATTTATTTAATTTAATGTATTTCCATTATATTGCATCATAATTCTAGCATATTTGATGTGAATCTGATCAATAAAATATAAATGAAAATATGTATTGTATTATATCAAAATTATAGTACGCTCTTCCATTTCTCAGAATATTGTATTTGGTGCACTTACCTTATACGAGCCCAGATTTTTAACAGAACAAGCCAATTTGACATTACGTCCCGCCGGCACTGTTATATTGTCAATGACGTCTGTGAATTCGGGATCCTCTTGAATGACTGCAATGAAATAACGGAATGCAAGTTATTTAGACATTCGTAATTAAGACAGATACTCAAATTACGCTTCCCATTGCCAATGATATATTCTCTGTGTGCTTTTACAATTCCACGTAGACACGCCCATAAATAGCTGTTGCCCAAAGCAAGAGCTGTCAGGATTTATGGCAGCACTTAAAAGTTAATAGCTATACAGATTGAAGCCAGAGCGATTAGCCCAATGGCTTCTGCGAAAAGTTTTGACAGTAACAAAGGCAAAATTATATATAAACTATGAATTAAGTGTTTAGCATTAGTGGCTCGTAAAAGTTTGTAGACTGAGATTATGCCAACACACAAGGCTTGCAGAACAATAAATCATAATTAAATTTCATGCCGTACGGCCTTTGAGCTCCGATGCCCATAAAACATTCCACCAATGTCCGCCGGATTGGCTCCTGAATCGAACAATCCCAACTCGAGCGCTGGACGCTGCTGCAGTTTAGCCTAGTGTGAAATTGCATTTCGTTGCATTGTTTGTGCCACTGACTGCCAATACTTGTTGTTATTACTATTGCAATTGTTGAGCTATCGAGATTTTTCGAATAGCTTTAAATTATTAAACGATTGAATTTACTTAGTGATTAGTTTATTAGCGATTATTTGAGTTTACAGAGTTTATGTGATAGACGCGAGCAAGCGACTAGGCTGTCGTGCTGTCCGCTACTATGTTTGTAATAGTCAATCTAACACAGCATCTGCTCTAAACAAGAGTTAATTGCATACTAATTACAATGTACGCGAGCCGGCGGATTAAGCTGAGCCGGTGCGTGGGTGAAAGAGACAACGCAAAAGGGAGAGCGTGATCTCCGTTACAAATTCTCTTACATGATAACATATTCTATGAACTGCCGCTCTTAATTACAATGAAGCGATGATTGCTGAGCCCAACATCCTCCCCCCGTTGAAGACTTAGTCTTCAACAGAATCCTTAAGGGGCAGCAAGCACAGCTTATTTGTAGCTCTTCTTATCTCGCCAACTTCAGTTTTTAGTAGGGCTACCCGTGCAACGCCATCACTTCCAGGGATAAGTTCGATTATTCTGGCTAGTGGCCACTTAAATGAAGGTAGATTCTCATCCTTCACAAGAACTATGTTGCCAACAGCCAAGCCAGGTTTGGAGGTTCTCCATTTCGCTCGCTGTTGTAACAAGTTGAGATATTCGTCCCGCCAACGAGTCCAGAACACCTGCTGGAGATAGCTTACGCGCTGCCAAGCATCCAAACGATTAAAATTGAGCCCGGTTAGGTTTGGCTCACTGAAAGACGAAGGAGGGCCACCGTTGAGGAAATGCGCAGGAGTCAACACGTCTATGTCTGATGGGTGCTCTGAAATCGAAACTAAAGGGCGTGAATTAACGACAGCAGCGATGTTGCAAACCAGTGTGCGAAGCTCATCGTAAGTTAGGACGGAGGACCCAACACATCGGTAAAAATGATGCTTCGCTGTCTTCACTGCAGCCTCCCACAAGCCACCAAAGTGAGGTGATCGTGGAGGGATGAAATGCCATTCGATTGAGTCTGCCAAACAGAAATCCTTCACAGCCTTCTGGTGGGTGTCTGACAGAAATAGACGCTTCAACTCCTGAAGCTGATTGCGGGCACCAAGAAAGTTTGTGGCGTTATCCGACCAGATTTGACTTGGCTTTCCTCTGGTGCATATGAAACGTTGAAGTGCATGCAAAAATGCCGCGGTAGTTAAATCCTTGACTAACTCCAACCAAATAGCCTTCGTAGCAAAACAAATAAACACACAAACGTAGCATTTCACAGGCGCCTTGTTTCGTGACTCAGGCTTGTAAAAGAAGGGTCCGCAAAAGTCGACTCCAGTCACTCCAAAGACCCGATAGCCGTCGACTCGATCCTTGGGTAGATCTGCCATTATGTGTTCAACGAGTCGGGGCCTTGCACGAAAGCAAATTACGCATCTCTGAATTACACTGGCTACAGTTTTTCTACCTCCAATTGGCCAATATTGGGAACGAACCAACGCTAGCACTGCTCGGGGACCAGCGTGCAAGTTTCGCTGATGGAAATGCATTATGATGGCTCTAGTTACTGGATGAACTTTGGGCAAAATAATTGGATGGCGACTATCGAAATTTAAAGTTGAGTTTTTGAGACGACCATCGACACGTAGCAGCCCAATCTCATCAAGGAACGGTGACAGCGAGGCTAGACTGCTGGATGACGGAACCATTCCTTTATTTCGAAGAGCATTTATGTCGTCTGAGAGATGTGTTCGTTGAATCATTCTTAACAGTATATGAGTGCCGTTCCGGATGTCTGCTAGGGTTATTCCTGGACCATGACTTTTTTTAATAAACTTTGATACGTATGCAAACGTACGCTGCAAGCGGCCGAAAGAATTCACAAACTTGCAGTCCATAGAGACATCATGGACTGCGTCCTTTACAAGAAGCACAGTTCTTCGACGCTCAATTGAAGTTCTTTCTGGAAGTGCTGATACTGGCCACTGAGATCTGGGCTTACAGAGGAAACCTGGACCGTTGAACCAATGTAATGATGCATTTAAATCCGAGGGCAATGCACCCCGAGATAATATATCCGCGGGATTCAGTGTTGTAGGTATATAGTGCCATTCCATTGCTGATGTGAGATCTTGTATCGTGGCGATGCGATTTGAAACAAAAACGTTAAATCGTCCGGGCTCGTCATTGATCCAAGAAAGCGCAACAGTAGAGTCAGACCAACAATGAAACTCGCCTGCGAAAATGCCTAAGCGAGCCACTTCATTCATTAGACGCGCAAGCAACTCTGCCCCGCATAGTTCCAGCTTGGGAACCGTGAGCGTTTTTAGAGGCGCAACTCGAGACTTAGAGCAAAGCAACCTGCTGATGGTATGCTGACCTCTGGATACAATATAAATGCAAGCTCCGTATGCCTCGATGCTGGCATCGCAGAATCCATGGACCTCAACCTTCGATCCTGGTATTAATGATAGCCTGGGAAATGCACTACTAAGACCATTGCCAAAGTTGCTGCAAATGTCTAGCCATGCAGTGTGACATGCAGACGGGAGACTCTCATCCCAATCAAGTTTATGCCTCCAGAGTTGTTGCAAGAAGATTTTAGCTTTCGTTATTACTGGGCCGACCAGGCCGAGGGGATCATAAAACCTAGCAATAGACGAGAGAACAGAGCGCCTGGAGGGCTTAGAGGCTGAATTCAGAGCTAGATATGAGAAAAGAAGTTGATCAGATGCCGGATCCCATGCAAGGCCAAGTGTCTTTGTAATGTCGCTGCCATCATTGAACCTAATGAGCGATTCCTTGTCGCAGTCTGTTACGCCGTCCAGTACCATGGGATGGCTTGAACACCACTTCCTCAATTTAAACTTCCCACATGCCAAGATTCCAGCTGTCTCTTGCATAACAAGTCTTGCTTCTTCGACTGAATTTCCTCCACTAATCAAATCATCAACATAGAAATCGCGAAGCAGTACGTCGGACCCGACTGGGAATGCGTTCCTTTCATCTACGGCAAGCTGATGCATGGCACGCACAGACAAAAATGACGCTGGTTTTGTTCCATATGTTACCGTATCAAGCCTGAAAACTTCCAACTCATCATCTGGCGAATTCCTCCATAAAATGCATTGTAGATAGCTGTCTGGCTCAGGTACTTTCACGCAACGATACATTTTGCAAATATCGCCGGTGAGTGCAACTGGATAAGATCGGAAGCGCAATAATATGTCGACTAATTTTGGCTGAATGACGGGACCTGACATTAGAATGTCATTCAACGAATGCCCAGTTGTTGTAGATGCAGATCCATCAAAGACGACGCGAAGCTTGGTAGTTGTGCTATCATCCTTCAGAACGCAGTGATGAGGAAGAAAATATCTGCATAGATGGAATGAATTTAGAGGAACGCGTGACATGTGACCAAGTTCAAGATACTCTTTCAGAAATGCTGAGTATTGAGACTTTATATGCGGCAAACGACTCAATTTCTTCTCCAAATTGAGAAACCGATGTCGCGCTTGCTCATAAGAATCTCCAAGAAGCTCACAACTAAGCTTAACAGGCAGGCGTACTGTATATTGGCCACTAGCCAATCGATTGTAATGCCTCGCAAAATGCGCTTCGCAGTCTGAGTCTTCCTTGCTGAACTTTACAATGGAATCGCTGCAGCGCTCAACTTCCCAAAAGCGACGAACGAGACTGTCCAACTTGATATCAGCACAGGAGTCTGTAATCGGATCCAAAGGCGTCTTTGAAGCTATTAGCACGGAGTTGTGGTTGCGAGCCTCGCCACCTGATACAACCCAACCAAGACGAGTCTTCTGTAACAATGGAAGTCCAGGCATCAACTTGATTTGTCCCACACAGAGCAAATCATAAAACAGGCTAGCTCCGATAAGCAGATCTACTCGTTGCGGCCTATGGAAAGCTGGATCTGCCAGCACTATATTTTGCGGTATGCTCCAATTGCTCGTATTCACATTAGAACTGGGCTGCCTGCCAGTTATATTTGTAGCTACCATAGCCGTTATGCTAGTTGTATATTCAGATGCATGAGCTTGAAGAGTGAGGCAAATGCTGCTGCCATCCATGGCAACATTGGAGTCGCCTACGCCGCATACAGATGCCACCGATTTTGTTCTCTTAAGTTGCAGGAGATTCGCAAATCTGGCTGTAATGAGATGTAGTTGAGAGCCTGAATCTAAAAGTGCACGACAAGGAACAAGCTCGCCAAACCGATTCCTTGCCAGAACCACTGCGGTAGCCAGGAGCACAACATCGCTGTGCCGATCCTTGGATAAGAGAGTAGTGGCTGGTGCTGAGGGCTGAGGGATGGTCTGTACTCTTGATGTTGAAGATTGTTGATGGGGCGGAATTGCTGCCTGCGATGTGCTGGAGTGGCCGAGATGAAGAAGCGTATGATGCTTGACTCCACAGACCCGACAACTGCGCGAGCCACATTGTCGCGACT